ATGTATTTGTTAAGGACCTATCTCTTCATCTACTTAACCAAGCAAAACTGTTAAAAGATTGCATGAACATGTGCAATTATTGACATGCACATAAAATCTTTTCCCAAGATTCATTATGGGATAGTGTCAGTAAATGGATATAGATGTTGCTTTGACATGTTGATACTACCAGTACCTGTCTTTGCAGCTGAGTCAAATATGAAGGATTTAATTAGGTGTCAGATGCTTGGTTATATGAGAATACAGTGGTGCCTTGAATAGCGATGTTAATGCGTTCCGCAAAAAACATCACTATTTGATTTCATCGCTATTCAAAATGCGGTTTCCCATTGAAATGCATTGAAAGCCGGCTAATCCGTTCCAATAGGAACGAATTGCTATCGCTATTCAAAAATCTCCATGGGAAACATTGCTATTCAAGAAGAGTCAGAACAAAGCCAGCCAGAGAGGGAGCGAGGAAGGAGGAGGAAGCCAGCCAGCCAGCCCAGAATGAGCGTCATGGCCGCTCGCCCACCCGAGGGCGCCCACCAGGGGGTGCCCGGCGGGTCCCTTTGTTCTTCTCCTCCCTCGACCCCCAGCACCGCCAGGAGAAGCTGGAGCCAGAGGAGGCCCAGCCAGGCCGCCGAGAGATGGGTGGCCACCGCCGCCCCGGGAGGAGCGAGCCGGCCAGCTGCCGGCCTTCGGGGGAAGAGAAGGAGGTGAAGCGGGAGACGGGGAGCCATGCGCCTGGCCGCGCCAGGGCTCTTTCCCTTCCCCCTCCGCTGCCCCGGGAGGAGCAAGCCGGCCGGCCACCGGCCTTTGGAGGAAGAGGAGGAGGCAAAGCGGGAGACGGGGAGCCATGCACCCGGCCATACCAGGGCTCTTTCCCTTCCCCTCTTTCCCTCCCCCACGGTCCTTCCAATGCCCCCGCTGGTCAGCTGGGGGAAAGTGGAGCCTATGGGGAAAAATCGCAAAGCAATTTTTCCCCATGGGGAACATTGCAATGTGATTGCTTTTGCAATCACAAAATCTGCATCGCTATGCGGATTCGTCGTTAAACGGGGTGCCCGTTAAGCGAGGCACCACTGTGTTCTTCACATTTGAGGTGGAATAGGATGGCTGGCCACACTCTTCATTGTGGTTTGGAAACAATTACCATTGTTTTCATCTTTCGCAGACAGATACATCTGTGATAACACGTCCTTCCACTTTTGTTCTGCTTAAAAATGCTGAAAAGTAGGTAGATTTGAAATTTGGAGGAGAAATGAATGCTAAGGATTAATACATGCAACAGCTTAATAGGATATAAAGTAGCAAAAGTGGGACCTGTCCAAATTTGTGTCCATGTTACGTTACATTGTGTGCCATCAAACCGGAACTGATTAAGACCAGTTGCTTACATAGGTTCAGAGGGTCTGTTAAATAAAACGTTTGAAATAAATTGGTGATTTTCAAATCACTAATTCAATCCAAAGCAATTCAGGCATGGTTTAAATCAGTGGTTCTTAACGTGGGCAATAATGCCCCCCAGCGGGCGATTTCATTTTTCAGGGGGGCGGTAGAATGAAAAGGGGCGGTGTGGGGGCGAAAGAACAGAAGGGGGTGGTAGGGGGCGCTGGAGCGAGCCAAACCTGTGAAGGTGACTGCAGCTGCAGTGCTGGCAGTAGATCCGGTGCTGCTGCTGCCGCCAGATGATCCAGCTCTTACTACCTGCCACGTCTTGCCTTTCTCCTTTAGGGGAGCACTGAGTGTGGATCGGGTGGAAGGAAAGGGGCTCTTGGGTCCTCATCCTTGCCCTGTGAAGCACTGCCTCGCACCCGGGAGGGGAGGGAGACTAGGTAGGTAGGTAGGTAGGTAAGATATCATCACCTCAGGGAGGGGGGCGACGATAACTTCCTCAATGGCTCAAGGGGGCATTTCTTTCAAAAAGGTTAAGAACCACTGGTTTAAATCAGCTCATCTAGTTTGGGATTTGGGCAAACTGGTTACATGACCCTAATAGGAAATATATTTGGAAGCTGAGATAATCTTATATATTGTTCCCTGACTCCCACAGCATCTCTCGGGGCCATCCTAAATTCTAGCCAAGGTTCGACTGGCAGGTTCATTGAGGAGATTCATATCTTCAAAACCAAGGAATCTCTGGATTTCTCATATGCCATTGAAAAAAGCCCTTTAGTTCTTACAACTTGTCTCTTAAATGGGTCTTTCAGAGAATGCACCTGTTGCTCAATAGCTTCTAACAATGACTTGCCTCCCACACTGTCTGTACACACATGCTCCTTACCTGTAATTCATCAGAGGAACTGTATCCACATAGAGGCTGAACTGTTCTGGCATTCTGACAAGTGTGAATAGCGTGTTGTCTCCTTTGAGAAAGCAGGAAATTGGCCATGTCTGATTTAAAGAGACAACTTGTTTAAGGATGCATAAAATTGTGACGCTCTAAAATAAAACATATGCTTTTATTTTCAGGCTAGGGTTCTATTGCAGCTCGCAGGCATTTTTAATGGGAGACTGTTAAGCATTGTATTGGATGTGTACCTTGTAGAGAGCTGCAGGGATTCCCTCCCCCTCCTCCTCTCCCCAGCACTTCTGAAAGAGCTGGCTCATCCTTGCTGTCAAAAGAAGCCATTTCCTGAATACACCAGCTTTGAGTCACTTTTTGAGCTCCCATTTCAGTTTTAACTCCTCCCTAACTGCGCCTGTGTGTGTGTGTTTGTGGCAGTGTGTCAAAGAGAGATGAGGGAGGTGGTGGAGGACGAAAAGTAGCTGTGGAGGCATTAGATGAATGCTGCTGCTAAATGTAATAGGCAGTGTGGGTTCCCGGTTCTTAGCTCTAGTGTAAGAGCTGGTCCTTTTCAGCTCCTATTGCCATTTATTTAAATTGTCGGTCTGTTTTAAATGAGAGCCTCTTGGCCCTCTAAAGCCAATGCTGAGCTTGAAGGAAGCAATGAGGGGAAGAAGAGGAGGAGGAGGAGGAGGAGGAGGCAGCAAGCCTGCTGGGGAAAGGAAGTAGTAGCTGCTGCTTCTGCTGCTGCAGCGAGGAGCTCCGAAGAAGTTCAAGTGCTTAACTTGCAAGGAGATGACATCAGCTGCTTCTGTGAGGTGGGCTATTGAGAGATTTTTTTGGCAAAGACACTGGCAATTGCTTGGTTTGGGCTGTGGGTTTTTCCTTTTCTCCTCTTGAACTTTCTTCATACTGGAGAGTGGCTTCTGGGTTGTTGTTTGTATTGTTTTTTAAATGCATGTGGGTGGTCATAAAGCATTTTTTTTAAAAAAAAAATCTTCTTGGGGGGGCATAATTTGGAGTCTGTGAGTTGTGTGGGAAATGATTACATCAGTCACAGGGAGGGCTAGGATTGGTCTGTACAGTGTGGTTTGATTCACTACCTAAAAGATTGTGTGTAACCCTTTGAGTGAAGCTCTGGGAGAGGTTTTTTTTTTTTTGCCTCCCCCAGAAAAAAGTGCCCATACAGCCAGAGCTTGGGTGTCTGGTTCAGGTACAATAATCCATTGAAATTGCAAAGCAATCTGGGCATTGCAGTTTGGAATTGCAAAAGATTGGAAGAAGCAAAGAATAAACCCAAGAGAGAGTGTCTGTGTTTTAAAATGCCATCTTGTTCTTCTGACTGCTGCTTTTTACATGCTGCTGAGGTAAGATTCCTTATCTCCTTCCACCCCCATATTACATTGTTTCAGTCCTTTTACAAGTATCATCATCACCTGGTGGAAGCTCAGATGTGCCTTTTTAATACAAGGCTAACACAGGGTTAAATCTTGGTGCTGTGTCTTCTGTCCTGTGGGGAGCAGGGTGGTTGTGTGTGCATGCGCACACATTCATTGTTAATACTATTTAAGCAGCATTAAAGCTGTAACAAGGAATTATCCATCTGAGTAAGGTTCATGAGGAGCTTGCAGCCTATAACCACCTCTCATTAGAAACAGAGCATAAAGAGATGGGTTTCCTAACTAATATTGGACATCAGGAGAAGGGACTGGTGGAAATATTTATTTATTTATTTATTTATTTATTTATTTATTTATTTATTTATTTATTTATTTATTTGACTTACATGCAGCCCACACTACCCGAAGGTCGGGCGGCTTACAGCATTTAAAATACAATAAAAAGGCAAAATAAAAGGGCAAAATAATTAAATACGAATAATGCTTGTAACTGACTTCCTGATTTGATTTGTAACTGCTAATGGCACAATGAAAGTTGGTACTAAACAGGATAACTATTTGTTCGGTGGATAAATTTTTAGCTAGATTTTGCTATAGAACAATTAATGGAAGAAGGCCCGAAGGATTGGTTCCTGTCATCTGCCTACCTCCAGTGGTTTTTAATGCTAGATATAGTACTCTGTTTTGTTTCTGACAAACAAGTTTTCCTGTGCTTCACTGGTTATCATATGGGTTTGTAAAGGCTGCCTAGCCTCCCTAAAGGGAGATGATATTGAAGAACAGCAACCTGTGATGGAAACTCTATAATTCAAAGTCACATACATATTGGGAGCAGAGGAATGTTGTATCGGTCTTTCTGAGCACAGAACTCAACTTCCTAAAAATGTCAGTTTACTGACTTTCAAAAATGAAATTTTTGAGATGTTTCTAGCATGTGGGTGGGTCCAAAGACACCCCAAAATGTGTGGTTAATGCCCGCAGAAATCTGAAATGTCTACTAAGGGTATGTGTACCCCAGTAAAATTTCAGTGGGTAGGTGAGTGGGATTTCTATATTCTGTCTTTCCTTGTGACTTAAGAACTAGAATAACATTCAAATGTGGTTAATTGTTCAGATATGTATCATTTACTATAAGCCACAGAGCTACAGTAATTCAAGTTTCCTGGTGTAGATTTTGATTGCACCTGATTTAGAAGTTCAGTATTGTAGTGCAGAGTACTAAGAACATGGTTATATGTGGCAACTATCCAATTCTTTTTCTTTTATAGTTTTTGGAATATAAACCTGCTATCTATAAAGCCTATATTTTTGTTCTTTTTTTTGTATTGCAGGATGTGAAAGTCTTTAGTGAAGATGGGACGTGCAAAGTGGTCGAGATCCTAGCAGATATGACTGCCCGGGACCTCTGCCAGCTTCTTGTTTACAAAAGTCATTGTGTGGATGACAACAGTTGGACCTTAGTGGAACATCATCCTCTTCTAGGATTAGGTAGGGACGACTCTGGAAAGGAAGCCTGCCTTAAATACCTGTGAGCAATCCAATATATAGCAACAAATGTGTTCACTTTTCTCAGGTGTTTATAAATATTGCTAATGACTTTCTATGTACAAGAATCCAGTTAAGTGACATTGGCTGAAATTCTGTTGCTTAGTGACATATATGGAAGGCAAAAGACATACGATTCACTCATCTTTAACCAGCAGTTAACTAGTTCCAGCTGGGATTCTTGAGTATGCACTAAGCCAGCATGTATCCCAGATAAGTGTGATGGTAGCTGATTGATTGCCAGCTAGAAGCAAGTGAATATTACACCATTTGCCTTCCACTGGCATCACAGAGCAACAGAATTTTGGCCTTTATGTAACAATGTGAATGCTAGCTGCATAAGAATCTTTAAGGTGGAGTGTATGTTGATTTTAATATATAATACAAAGTGTTCAAAATCTGGTGAATGTAGATATTTACATACCAATTCAAATAGTGTTAGATAATTGCATGTGTATGAGTCTTCATATATTCTTTCCAAAGAGGTCAGATATACATTGATGAATATGATCACCTAGGCAACATTATTTTGCACATGGTCAAGAAAGTAGAGTAGTGGTGCACTGCAGTTCTATGACAGGATTGGCAACATGTTACCCGCAGGCTGCATGGGGTCCATATGGCCATTTTTGTGGCCCCCACCTTCCCAACATTTACTTACTTTTCTGGTCAAAACATTTTGTGCATAAAAAGCCCTCTTGTGTTTTCTAGGGAGTGTGAGGCAGTTTTGCCATGTGTTGAGGGGGCGTGCAGAACCCTTGATTTCCCAACCTCCCCCCCTTTTTTTTTCCAAAAAGCTAAATCTGTTGTGGCCACCAGAGAGTTTTGTTTTGTTTTTCAGTTTAAAACACATTGTTGTAACTTTTACAGTACATGATCTCTGCATTTTAAAAAAAAATCAAATATGCAAATTAGCATCTTTGTCCAAAACCCATGGGAATGTGGTTTTTTTGGCTGCCAGCAAATGTGAAGAATGGCCCTTGATACCAGTGAAATTGTCCACCCCATACTAGTCTTTTTGCTCTCTCCAATGTATGCTAATGAATGCTGCCAATTGTGTTACAACGGTATCCATCAATATGTATTTGCCATCTTGGGGGAACACTCATTGGATTTTGAATATATATTTTAAGAAGTACAGTTTTGTTTCCAAGTGTGAGTTTTTGTGTTTGTGACTTTAAAAAATAAGCAAGTCTTGCAAATAGATTTTCCTTATAAACTTAGCTAGTCATTAGTTTTGGATCTTGAGCAGACTGCACCTTTACAGTGCAAAGAGAAGCCTAATGCAGTTAAGGAACAGCGTTCCCAGAAAGTAGTTTCAGGGAGGTAAAATAAAAAAAATACTATGGTACAGTATGAGAAGTCCCTTACACCTTCCTTTTCTAAGCATCAGATTTTGCACCAGACTGGAATAAAAATACCATAATTGTACGTAAGCAAGAAGAACTGTGTGGAACAGGTTTAAGTAGTTTTACCCTAAAATATGTTGGATATTGATCTCTCTCTTCTTTACCATATTTTTTCACAGTTATTAGTGGTGTTACATGTTCTACATTGTACTCCAAAAAACATAACAGATTAAAGAATAATACTTCAGTGATAAAGTATTATTAAACATTGAATTTTATTTCACTGGAAGAGTTAATATTAAATAAGGGAGAAGGCAGGCTATTATTAGAGCCTACTAGGTCTGTTATCAAACAGGTGCCCTTGAAATAGAAATGTTTTGCAGATGAGAATCTATTTCCCATCATTTGTGATGTCTTCCATGAATATCTTAATGAGAGAGTCCTGGATGTAGCAGAAGCAGGTTTTGAAAATCTATACAAGTGTGAAACTCTTTGGATTGATGTGACTTTAGAAAATCAACTACAGGATAAACACAAAGTAATGTACTTTTGTAAGACACTTGTAGACTTATCAACACATATGGAAAGAACCGATGCAAATATATTTTGAGCAATAATGTTTTTATTTAACTGATATTGTTTTTAAAATTCTTGGTCCTGTTTTTTGTAGGGCTTTCCCATCTGAGATTACCAAAGTATTGTGTAAACAGAGGCTTTTCTCCTTTGTGTGCAACATCCTTCTCCTGCCAGATTCATTCAGTGATGCCACAATTCAGTGTCTGTGACATCACAATGGCTTCCATGGTGACTAATTGTGCTGTCAAACTCTGCTGTGTGACATCTCTGAATGAATCAGGCAGGAGGCTGATTAGGAAATCAAAAGCTTCTGTTTACACACAAATAACTTGGTAATTAACTATGATGGGAAAGGAGCAATATACTGATCAGTCAGTTTTAGGTGTATCCTGAATTTCAGCTGAAATCCTTTCTTAGGGCAAAAAGGCAGAGCAGATCCCAGATTTGTATAATGTGTAAATGAGAGTTTTATTCCTAGCAAAGTTTCCATGGTGAAAAAAAATTGTTCCATGGTTGCATGTTTGAAATATTTTGTGGTGTGTCTAACTGATTTATAAGCATATAGATAGCTTCAGATGTAAAGCTAAACTGTGGTTTAGCATTATGTACTTGAGGCATGGGGGGCATTGTGAGGAATTTGGAAGCTTTCACATGTGCTTTTAATAAGCCATAATGTACTGTTGTTTTCAAAATCTAAATTTGGAGTAATCTTAATTGAAACATCTCAGGTTCATACTTGTTGGGTTATAGTTGGCTTTTGACGGCAAGTAACTAAATTTCACTGTGCTTCGTCTGAATTCAGACCTAATGCGATCAGGTAAAAATGGAAGTGAAAGCTTCCAGTCACTTTGTTGTCGTCCAGACCTTCCAGGAGGACAAGAAGGTTCAGCTGTTGAGCCTGAGGCTCATTCGTGTGCTTTCAGCCCAAAGTGTAACTTTTTGACTGAATATATCCAACGTGTATGTTGGAAGCAAGTGACAGTTCTTTAGAAGCATGTTAAATAATAGTCTGCATTTATGTAGTGCTTTAGAATGTTCAGAGCACTTTACATAACACATTTATCTTGATAATCTTTACAAGAAGCATAAACCTTTAAAATGGGTCAGTGTTGTTATTCTTACTTCACAGATGAAATGTCGGAAACCTTAGATGAGATCATTCAGAGGCAAGAGATGAACTGAGTTCCATTAGTTCAAGACCTAACTGCTGGTAACGAGTATAACTGAAGCATACACACACAACAGTATCAGTGTGTAACATTTGTGTCCTAGTGTTTCAATTTGGTATATTTTTCAAAAGAATTTAGATGCTCTGTTGCATATTTCTAAGCTTTATTAGAAATGTGTTTAAAAATAACAACTACTAATTATTACAGTACATTTGTGCATTTTGAGGAGTGGGGTGGGTTTAAGAGTGATGCAGATGGACCTAAATGGGGTATTCCATGTGTAGCTGAAAGAGCTGGAGCCACAATTCAGTACAGGCCAAGGGCCTGGAGGTTCAAGGAAAGAGATGAAGGAAAAGGAACAGCTTGTATGTCATCTCCCATGGTGCTGTGGTGGGCCTACACATGTTGAGTTTGAGACTGGCTGCATTTGATGTAGGGGGCTCTTCTGGAGACAAAGAAAGGAAAGTTTTTTTCTGTCTGAAACATCCCTCTATAGTGCAAGGGAGGGACCTCTTCAGTTTTGTAACATAGATGTATACAACCCTGATCTCTCTTTGTAAAATATGACTGTTAGGGACATGATAATAACCTTTTGGCTCTGTGGATCACGAGAAGCTATGGATTGCTTTGAAAGAAAAAAAAGGGTGTGCTTCAGCACTTGATTATCCTGATTGCAGACAAGAACCTATTGTTAGGATGGAATATGGAGAGATAGAATGGTGTCCTGTAGGCAAAGATGTCAGACAGGGTTGCATTTTATCTCTGTCTGTTCAATCTATATGAAGAACATATACAGACTGCTGGGCTAGATTCAGAACAAGGAGAAGTGAAAATTGGTGGAAGAAACATCAATAAGTTAAGATATGCAGATGACATCATCGTACTATCTTGACGGGGGGGCCTCACTACTCTTGTGCACGCACTCGTAATCTCGAGGTTAGATCATTGTAATGCACTCTACGTGGGGCTGCCTTTGAGATTGATGCGGGAACTTCAAATGGTGCAAAATGCGGCAGCCAGGCTTCTTAGTGGGGTGAGAAAATATCAGCATAGCTTCCCCACACTGGCTGTTTTGCATTGGTTGCCCGTTCGTTTCCGTGTTGATTTCAAAGTATTGATGATGACGTATAAAGCCCTAAATGGTTTGGTACCTCGATACCTGGCGGATCGCCTTCTCCCACCCAGGTCTACCCAAATCACTCGACAAAACCAGCAGGGACGGCTGAGGGGCCTTACGCCAAGAGAGGCCTGGAAGGAAAGAACAAGAAATGGGCCTTCTCGTCGGTGGCCCCTTAGCTATGGAATACGCTCCCAATGGAAATCCGTCTGGCTCCCTCGCTGGGTGTTTTTAAAAGCCATTTAAAAACTTGGCTATTTAAGCAGGCCTTCCCTCCAGTCAATGAACTTAATTTCTGTTGCTGTTTCTTAACTATTTCCATCTTGATAATGTAGATATGTATATAGACACTGGCTTTTAGGTTTTACTATGTATGTTATTTTATCCTGTTTTATCACCCATGTAAGCCGCCCCGAGTAGACTTTGTCCAGGGGGCGGGGTATAAATTCAATTAAAGTAAAGTAAAGTAAAAGTTATTAGCAGAAAACAGCAGTGATTTGAAATGACTTTTGATGAAAGAAGAAAGCACGAAAAAGTAACTGCAGTTGAGTATTAAGGAGCAAAAATCATAAGTGCAGAAGAACTACACAACGTTAATGTTGACAATGAAGGAACTGAAATTGTTAAAGATTTTATATACCTTGGTTCAGTCATCAGTCCAAATGGACAATGCATCCAAGAAATCAGAAGAAGAATGAGTCTTGGAAATGCAGAAATGAAGGACCCTGAATA